ATAACTCAACAACTCAGAAAATAAAGCATGTCAATCCCAAATCCAAAGCATGTCAAATTATGGTCTAAGCTCAAATATTCAGCAAACTTAGAATCCAGAAAATCTGAAAGTCTATTACCAGAATACAGAAGCAAAACGCAATGAATACCACCTTGACAGATCCTAGGCGATCATCATGGAGTGGGCTACATGAATCCAGTTTCACTAACCCATTCTATTTAAAACCATATAGATTTGGTATTTACTAATAAAGAAATATATATGGGATCTAGGCATTTTTGGCTCCACATATTTAAGTATGCATGAGGCCTATGATACATCTGTTAAAGGAATTACAGATTTTGAAATAAAGGTTTCTCTTTTACCTTATTGCTGATTTTAGACACTTTGAATCTGTTGGTTCCTTAAGGAGATAACTGTTCAGTTTCCAGGAATAAATGCTATAACACTTTCAATTGGAGATCAAAGATGATTAATGGATTCATGGAAAACTTTATGTTTTGATCCATCCTAGAACTGGCTATCCCATAGGTAAAATTTTAATAAGTTGCGGTGAAGAGCAATGGCGAGGGCCAAAGACTACAGGAATGATGGTCCCCCTAGGATACATGGGGGTATAATGGTCATAATGTCAATTATTTAACTTTCAAAGTACAAGAAATGTTCTGGTACCAATAATCCAAGTCTAGGAAAGTCTCTATCTAGCATAGGAGCCCTTTTTCCTATAAAGGTTTCTGATGCAGGACATGACAAGAAGTAAATGTCTATGGTTCATGAACTGTTTTGGACCTCAACCAAATCGGCTCAAGTCTGGCACCCAAATTTTGGACTAAATTTGAGGGGAAAAAACTTGCTCCTTTGGCTTGACATAGGTGTCATTAGATAGGCTAATCCAGCAAACCCAAGATTTTAAGAGTCTTGAAACCGTCCACCTTGGGCACATGCATGCAGGTTGCTTTGTTTCAATTATTCTTTCCATATCAGTATAAGAAATCGTTCACCCATCCATCCTTTTTATTGGGATGACATAATCTTGAAACTATCATGTTTTTGGGTTTTCAAATTTTATTCTTTAAGATAGTTAGATAGCTAAGCATAAATTTTCTAGTAAGATCTTATAATCCTGTAATTTGTTTCATTTAATGTAAGGCCTACTAGAAATTCCAACAGTACCAAGCAGCCTCTTAATCTCTGTTCTTCAATCAGATTTATATTTCTATTATAAGTTTTACTCTAGGCTTGAAGCTCATCAAACTATTTCAGTCCTAATAACCAGCACCTGCTAAATAGAGGTTATATTAATGTATTATCACTATACTATTTCTCGGTTCTTTGTGTTCTTGTTTTCTTGTATCTTAATTATCATGTGATACTTTAGTAATCATGAATAAATAATGAATTTAGTTAAATTCTCACTCCAGAATTTCATATATCCAAAAACAACATTTCCAAGAAGTATGCAAATAGGGAAAAATAAAAAGAAATGAAAAACATGACCATGTGTGTGTCCATTGCTGTTTTCATACCTTGTTCAGTAAACAAATAAATACATGCACACACAAAGAAGAAAATATAGAAAAAAAAAGCTACAATGGATCAAATTGGAGTTTATAGCAGCTTAAACATTTCCCTACCTGCTTTTAGTTTTAGAATGAATTAATCATCATAAAGGGTAAATCTAAAACACATTATGAACACTTCCTACAATTTTATATAAAAGGACTATATAGGCCTTGCTTGGAAAAATGGTAAATTATTAGCTGTTAAATGCGAGAATATCAGCTTGAGTTTGAGAGTGGTCATTTCATGCTAAAATACTGGATATTAGGTTCATGTCCAATCCATCCCTTTCACCTGTATTATGTATAAAACTATATATGCAAGGTGTATTGCTGTATCACAAAGAGTAAGAGATCAAGGAAATATATATGTGCATTACTAAAGAAACTTATGGTCGGATTAGCTTCTACTTCTTGACATGATTTCTGCATTTAGAGAATATTACAAAACAAGATCTGTAGTTTGTAAGATTCTCTAACTGGCAAAGGTACTTTTCAGTTAGGAACCTGATCTTACAAAATCTTACGGACTGATCTTCAGGCTGTAATCACTTTGTTTTAGAGAGAGAGAGTGAGAGAGAGATAAGAGTTTTTTTTGGTTCAGATTCCTAAGGGGTTATAATTAGGCCATAGTTTCCCTGCATCTTTATAGGAAGGAGACGTTTTGGCAATTGCAACATTAATCCATGAAAACAAAATAATAAGATGTTAGTGTGTGATTGTAAAATGTAACTTCTACGGGAGCCCAAAACCCATGTAGGGATTCTATGTCACCAAACCCAGAAACTGGTTTTCTTTTTTCATTTTTTTTTTTTTTATTTCTGGGTTTAGTTTGGTTAAGTTTAGACATTTGCTCGCTGAAGTGAGCACCATTCCATTGGAAAATGGCAAATCAACCCTAGGAGAGAAATAAAAAATTGAATCATGCTCATTTGGTCAAGTTTAGATATTTGCTCACTGAAGTGAGCATCATTCCAACATCAGCACAGAACCAGCATTCATGATGAAATCTCCAATATTTCTCCTCTGCAAGCTTAGCAAATAAACTTGGCCGGTAAGATTTGACCGTCATGTTAATGGGACTTATCCTCGACTGAAAATTTCAGGGTTGACAAAGCCTAGAAAACCTGAAAAAACAGTAAAAACAAAGATAGATCAAAATTAATAAAGAGAAATGCTTAAGCTATCATCGGAACGAGACTCAAGAGAAAGGAATTATAGAAAAACAAAATAAAAATACGCAGGACCCACCTTTGGCTCTCTTCCTAGTTCAGTAATTCCTCCTCTCACTCTAGTTTTGGGGCTCTCCATCAAAATTAAATAGCAGAGAACGCGAGATTTTGAAGAGTTTTTTTTTTTTTTTTTTTTGTTAAATCGGTTAAAAGCTTAGAACCGTCTTGTCAATTCGCAAAGACCGCCGCATTTAAATTTTTTTATTTTATTTAGGTTTTTCAAGCGGCGGCCTTTGAAGACAGCCATTTCAACTCTTGTTATAGTGGCAGTCATAAAGACCACCGGATTAGACAGTTTTTCTTTTATATATATATATATATACATATATTAGTAATTAAGGAAGTACTAAGTAAGAAAATTTTATTTATATTTTTTATTTGAATTTTAGACATATTATAATTAAGATATAAATTAAAAATTAACAAAAATAACAATATGATTAAAAATAAACTTAAATGTTTATAATAAATGTATACAACATTGTAAGTGGGAATTTTAAATTACAATAATAATTATTATTATTATTAAATTTTATATTCCATTTTTATCATAAATAAAAAAATATTTTAATAAATACTTTTATTTAATATGATGAATATGTAACATTAAAAATGTTCCTAAGTATTTTTGACATAATTCTGTATTTTTTCATTTTTAATATTCTATTTTTTTAAAAGTATTTATTATTCAATTGCAACATTATACATTTTTTTGAAAAATTGAATCACTGATTCATCACCTAAAAAAATAGCTTGTTTTAGGGTTGCGTTATCCCTTTGTGTTTGGTGTTTACAAACTTTTGACACCGCTTGCAAATAATATCGTGCTCAGTATTACTCCTTTATTCTTCAGCAAGTTTGGGCTGTTAGTTGACGTTGGGTTTATTCCTCGGGTCATATTCAGTCCCAGTTTCAAGAGTTGTTAATGATTGGTTGATCTTGTTTGTAATCTGAGTATTTTATCAATTTAATATGCCTTTTAAATTTAATAAAAGAACAATTCGATCTCCAGTCCATGATATATTTAAACATTGCTAGTAGGTAACGACTTTAATTAACAACGTTTTCGACATTTTTATGGTATCTTCATGTGAAAAAAATAAACGATAAGACGCCTTAACCAAATGGTCTTCACTCTACTAACATCTTGATGCAAAAATTCACATCCTATTTTAACTATCAAATATTCCTAAAAATCTTTAAAAAAAGATTTGCCAAATGGTACTTTAGTTTCTGGGTTCAACTATCAACCGTTATCATTACAAGAGATCAATCAGGGTATTAGATGAGAAACCATGGGGTGGTTTGATTGGTCAAAGCTCTTCCGTCATGAATGGCGTTAGTGCTTTTGGTTTTCTATGAAATTAAGTTAAGGGTAAAATACAAAAATCTCCCCTTAAGTTTCTGACAATCATAAAAACCTCTCCTATAGTTTTATTTTAGCAAATACCTCCTCTGAACATTTCAGAAACTCGACAAAAGCCTCCCTTCTGCCACTGTCCCAGATGAAAAACGTTAAACTTATGCACTAATTTTCCCAAATATTCATTCTACCCTTTTATAAATTATTTTACATACAAAATTACTAAAATAATCTCATTGTAATTCAACAAAAAACATATTTCAGTAATTTTTTATGTAAAATTACTAAAATGACTGTTAAAAGAGGTTTTTGTTGAAAAAGGAAATTTTTGTTGAATTTCTCAAAAATTTAGAGGAGATGTTTGTTAAAATTAAACTAAAGGGGAGGTTTTTATGATTATCAAAAACTTCATTAAAGATTTTTTAAAGATTTTTGTATTTTACCCTAAAGTTAAATAAGAAAGGAGGATGGTGATATTACTTAATTTATATTCTATTGATCAAGATATTCCAATTAGACTCTCACCAAAAAAATTAAAAAGAAAGAAAAAGCTAATTTCAACTGGACGGATAGGGACTAGAGTTGCTGGTAAATAGACAAGAGAGTTGAACTGTGAACCAGTTAAAACTACTGGTTCGAAAACGAATGGTGATGGGGAAGTAGCCTTATCATATATCAACCGTGAACCAAAACCTACGGCATCAACCGAGAGTTCACATCTGCGCCCTACAATTGGGCGCCCTACAACGTCCCACAGCGCAGATCTGAACTCGTCAAACCGAAGACACAACGCCTTTTAAGCGGACAAAGATTATAGAAGTCGTCGTCCTATCTTCTTATTTTCTTCCTGAAGAAGGTGAAGATTATATCTGAATTTGGAGTGGATGCGACCAAGAACAACCAAATAAAAGAAGAATTTGCAAACATTAGTGACATGTGAATCAGTGAGAGGTAGAAGAATAGATTAATCGACTTCTCCCACTGAAACTCAATACTCTCCCCTGATTTCAGAGACTTTTCGGTGTTCACTATCGTCTGTCGAGATTTATTACCTGGGGTAGTTTCAAGCTAAGGTTTCGTATTTTGCAGTAGACTGTAGAGAACAAAGAGGTGAGAACCAAAACTACTCTTAGGTTAGTCCTAGGGTGAGTTGTGGTTTCAGTTTTTAACTCTTTTCCTGTTGTTTTGTATTTTAATCAGGCGATCAGTCCGATCTACTCGGCGGTGTTAATATGGAGCTTCGAATGACCTTCTGACAGGATCAGCAAAGTTTTACAAATCATTACCAGTGCTTGGAACAATTTCCAGATCCACGAGACGATTCCCAAATTTCCGATAATGGTATGGCACAAGATGCTTCATCTCATCCTATTACGGACGCTGATGATGGAGGTAGCGGCAGAAGTAGCATCGTCGACATCGTCTCAGACAAAGCCTGACTGCCAGGACAAATGTGGGAACATCAGCATCCCTTATCCGTTTGGTGTTGGCGACAATCGCAACTGTTTCCTGAATGAAGACTTTCGGTTGACCTGCAACACCGCCGGTGATACTCCACTACTACAGATCTCCGACACTCAGCCCGTTTTGAGCATATCGCTGGAAGGACAACTGACGGCGTTCGTTATTGGGCCTGTCCGATGTTACATGGGTGCGGACAAATACTGGCAGGGGTATACCTGGGCTTGGGCTAGATTTGCAAATGCGTACAGAATCTCGGATACCAGAAACAGATTTATGGCTATCGGCTGCGAGATGAATGCGTATTTGTCCGACTTCTTGAGTAAGGCTTTCTATGTAATGTGTAGTCCAGTATGCTTGAACAATACCACAGTGACCGATTTATCTTGCGCTAGTCATCTTGGCTGCTGCCAGAGCATAATTCCTAAGAATGTCAATTCTTATTTGATATCAATGAGAGATTATTATAACCTCACCTACACTTGGAATGCCAGCAGATGCGCATTTGCAATTTTGTCGGATCAGGACTGGTTGGCTTCACATGTGTCCCAACTCTGGAACACGGAAAACAACGTTGAAGAACTTGTGAAGTTTGGGATTAAAACTCCAGTTGTACTCGACTGGGCAGTTCGAAACAAGAGCTGCGAGGAAGCACAAAGAGAAGCTACTGATTATGCATGCCGGAATAACTCCTATTGCACTAATTCCTCGAATGGTCCAGGATATCTTTGTCACTGTATGAAAGGCTTTTACGGAAATCCCTACCTCCCTGATGGATGCCAAGGTATGTAATCATATCTTATCAGTTTTGCAAGAATCGGATTGGAACTGGCGATTAAACTAGGGAACAAGTAGCATTTCAGGTCAGGATTTGTCATGGGTTTTTATTCATATTGGAAGAGATGCACATAGCATTTCAGGTCAGGATTTGTCATGGGTTTTTATTCAAGGACCTTATTTAACAGCTTTTAGGTTGAATGGTTCTGTGCTTGTTCAGGCTTAAGCCCAATGGGCTTTCGTGTGAGGGGGTTTGTTAGAGAATATCAAGACTTTATATAACAGCTTAATCTTTTAGATTAAATGGTTCTTTGCATAGTTTTTAAAACCGGATCGGACTGGATGATCAGACCAGAAAAACTGGGAATTGGTCTGTTTTCCTCAAAAACTGGATTTCCCTCTAAAATCATTGATTTTGATCAACGAATTGTTGAACTGGGTGACTAATTGTTTGAACCGTTTGAATGATTTTGACCGTTTTTTATTTTTTAAAATATTTTTTATTTTTTATTTTCTTGTTAGAACGGGCCAAATTTTCGGTTTGAATGATCCAACAGGTCGGTTTTAAATGATTCTTTGAGAAACAGAAATGATTTTTTTTTTTTTTTTTTGGTTTTTATCTATTCTTTTAGAGTGGTATAGGTAATAGAATAGAATATGGAGAGAAAAAAAAAAATAGAAGTAGGAAAGAGAGAAGAGTGATAAATAAATAGATGAAAATTTTCTGATATGATCTGGACGCTAAGCCATGGATGAGATTTTATTAAGGATTTGACAGTATGCCAATGGTCTGATAAATAAATAGATGAGATTTTGTTAAAGATTTAACAGTATGCCATGGTAAAACGTCAGCCGCTAACTTCATATGATGTAGTTTCTGCATCATGGCATTTGCGGTATCAGCTGTTTATGCCCTACAACCACTCAATTTCTCATTAATTTACAGCATCATAAGTGAATATGCCTCACAACCCTTCAATTTCTCTATTGCATATAGCTAAAACAGTCCCTAGAGTTTCTAGTTGGGGGCCTTTAGGAGGATTTTCGTTTGTTTTGTTATTGTTTGGCTGGTTTTATTGTTTTGTTATCGTATAGCTCTTTCTTGGTTTTCTATTTTTTTTTTTATTTTAATAAATTTTATTTTATTACTAAAAATTTCCCAGAATAGATATATAATGACTAATGAGCTGCGGCCAGAAAAAACAAAAGTGACAACTGGGTACTGACATAATTACCCAACTTGACCCCAATATATTCTTTATAAATGAATATATAAATCATCAATTATTTAATTTTGCCTTATTGACTTTCTTTTATTTTAAGGGTAAATTACTGAAACTTCCCAGAAGTTTTTGGTTATTGCTGAAGTTTCTCTTGAAGTCTGATAGTTGTAACCACTTTTTTTGAATTTTTTAACAATGTTGCAAGTAGACCCTTTTAGTAGAATTTTCTAAAAGAAAACATGAAAACATCTAAAATATTCATGCAATTATTTTTAACAAAAATGCTTATTTTCCAAATTTTCTCTTCATATGAAATATTATTTCAAATCATTTCAATTTCTTTTTTGAAATTGATTTATTTTCCAAATTTGCCCTTTATATCAATCACTCAATGGTAAAGCTACAAATTTAAATTCTCTTTGTTTTTGTTGTTCATAAGGTTTATATTGTTTTTCCCTTAAAACCAACTTCAATAGTAATTGTACAGGTATTTTTGATATTTTATGCCTTTTTTTAAGAAGATTCTACCAGAAAGGGTCTACTTGCAACTGTATTAGAAAGTTCAAGGAAGACGATTGCAATTACTAAACTTCAGGGGAAGTTTCAGCAATGGTCAGAAACTTTAGGAGAGGTTTCAACAATTTATCCTTATTTTAAAGACAATAAAAAAGACCAAGGTAAAATTTAAATCCGATGTAAAATTAAATAAGATCCAAATCTGATTCAAGACCCCTAGATTTCATTTTATTTCATCAAATTGGATTAAAATATGGATAGATCTGATCCAAATTCAATCTGATTAGAGCATTAGGTGGAAGCAACCCTCGTCATGAAGAAGACAAAAATACCCTTGACATTGGACATTTATAAGAGCGCTGGTGAACTCTGAGTTTTTTTATAAAAAAACTGGGGTCGCCCATTCCCCAAACCTATAAACCACCGCCCAGTGCCGGGGAGATTTGACCCTAAGTTTCCACAGGAAACCTAACTCATGATTATGATTAACATCCTCTTTTATGTGCATATATATCAAATGTTTCTTTTGTATTTTATATTTTTATTTCTTCTACTAATATTTTCATCTACACCAAACTTGTCCTGCTTCATTCCCTCACGCTTTCCCCGCCTATTCGTTGGGTTCACATTGGGTCTGGCCTGGTTTAGTATAGTCTGGTTAGAGCATGGATCAGCTGAGCCAATGCAAAAATTCACTGCTAACTCTTAATTGGATGAGACCAACTGATGGTGGCTCGGTTAGTAAGTTCTCTGGTTGTTTGTAGCAGAAATCTAGAGTCAAAATGTCAAACTCCATTATTATTAGGGTTGGCCGCGGCAAGGTTATGGTTTATGGGTTTTCATTGTAGTGGAAATCTGGGTCAAATCTCGTCACTATTGGATTGGGGGAAGGTATTGTTTAGGGAAAATTCTCGATTACTACCTTGTATTTTGTGTCTAGTGTCACTTTGGTCCCCAAACTTTAAAATGCGATAATTCAGTATTCAAACTTTCAAAGCGTGACAATCTAGTATTTATCATTAATCAGCAATTAACCTGCCATTAAGTGATATTTGAAAAGGATAAAAATGCCCTTTGAGTGTCATTTAATTGTTTTTATCAATCATCTAAACATTGGCAAAAAATGAACAGCCCAAATCCTTGCTTCTTCCATTCAAGAAAGTTGGGGTTAAGTTTGATCAGGCATTCAGATGACCCCAACTTTCTTGAAAGGAAGAGGCAATGATTTGGGACTATTATTTTTTTGTCAATATTTCGATAATTGATAAAGAAAATTAAATGATACTCAAAGGGCATTTGTGCCTTTTTAAAATATCACTTAATGATACTGGATTGTTATGTTTTAAAAGTTCGAATACTAAATTGTCACATTTTAAAATTTGGGAACCAAAGTGACACTAGACCCAAAGTACAGGATACTAATCGGAGGTTTTCCCTATGATTTATGAATTTGGCTGTTTTGGGGACAGTTATGAGCCTACTCTTTAATCCCTTTCCACCCCCATTATGTATTCTCATGAATCAGGCAAGAAAAATGTCAACTGGATGAGGGTATTTTTTTTATATGCTTATATTCACTCTAAAAATTTCCTTAATTAATCTGGTATTAATATAGGGCTAATAGTGTTATTAACTTCATATTTGAATCTGACTCAATTAAGAAAAATCAAAATTTTAGCCATTTCTAATTGGATTGAATATAGATCTATCTTTATCCGATCCGAATTCGAATTTGAATATTAACTAATCAAATTTGAATCTAACAATATCCTATTCAAGTTGATCCTTTTGCAGCTCTAATGACGTTATTCCTCTAATCTCTCTATTGTTTTTATTTTTTCTTCGTCTGAAGTAATGCCTTCACAGGAATTTTCTTTTGTATACTTAGTATCAATTGAAAACAAGACCTGTGAGAAAGGAGCCACAAATTACGCTTGCGGAAATAACACATACTGCTCTTACTTAAGTGACGGCCTTGGATATACCTGCCAGTGTATTGAAGATTACCATGGAAATCCTTATCTTCCCGATGGTTGCCAAGGTATGAATTTATTTTTAGCATTCTCTTTCACTTCACAACTCAGGTAGAAAAAAAGATAGCTAATCAAGTCAATTAAGCTTCTCTTGATCATTCATATAAACAATTGAAGATATGCTGGACTGAAAAGTCTTTTAGTGAATAAGATTTTAAAGAGGCTGTAGGGGGTCCTTAATTAATGGATGAAAGAAGTTGGATAGATCATCATTAAGTACTGAATACAAGGAAATTAGTAAAATATTCTGGGGTTTGGGGGTTCGGTATGGTAAAGTAAATGGGTTTCCTTTAGAATAAAGGAAAATTTCGGCCTCTCAATTCAATTCATGGGAGGTGATATTATAGGTAGAGAGTTGAAATCGGCACCCCATAAGATACTTTTCCACAACGTCCCACAACACATTTTCGTTGTATTGGGAATATCTCGCGATGATGTCTCATTATTTTTAGTATTATCATCGGGAGATGTTCTCAATAGAGGCGGGAATATGCTGTGAAACGTTGTGAAAAATTATATTGTGGGGGACTGATTTGAACTCGTAAGTGAAAAGCTTGTTGATTCACGGGAGAGGGGTGGCTCATAGAGGTTCCTTTATTTTATCGTAGCACTTGTCATGTTTAGGACAGATAAATTTTGCTTCACCTCATCTAACTGCTGACCACTACGATAATGGCAATAACAGCGTCGACACCACTGAAGACCAGGCCCAACTGTAGAAACAAATGTGGAAATGTCAGCATCCCATACCCGTTCGGCCTGGTTGGTGATGATCCAACCTGTTACAGAGATGAATTCAAGCTGTTCTGCAACACCGCTATGGACCCTCCCGAACTGATGTTGTATGGCCCTGATTATATGAAGTATGCCAACATATGGGTTTTGAACATTTCTCTACAGGGCCAATTGACATTCTCTTTGTGGGCTGCTGCCATCTGTTACATGGGAGAGAACCAAAGCTTGGAGAATTACAGGATACCTAGGCAGTTGCCTAGCACTTACAGATTATCTAACACTCGGAACAAATTCACTGTGATTGGCTGCAACACAATTGGCGTCTTGTCCGATTTCAAAGGCGAGAGGTTTCATATTGGGTGCACTTCATCTTGTCCTTACGCTACGGAACTGATTGGGCCGTCCTGTGACGGAATCGGTTGCTGCCAGGCCGCGATACCAAAGGATCTTGATTCATTTTATGTAGCGCTTTGGCAGTATGACGGTAGAACCCGCTACACGTATACTTGGAATATCAGCAGATGCAGCTATGCCTTTTTGTGCGATCAAGACTGGTTCAGTTCGAATGCGTCAAACCTATGGGAATTAAGGAATGAGGCAGAATACATTGTAAATGTTGGGGTCAGAACTCCGGTGGTTCTCGACTGGGCAATTCGAAACAAGACTTGCCAAGAAGCAAAAAAAGACCTGGCCAATTATGCGTGCGGGAGCAACACCTATTGTGCTGATTCGACAAATGGCCCTGGATATCTTTGCCATTGCATGCAAGGCTACGATGGAAATCCTTATGTCTCTGATGGATGCCAAGGTAACATATCTCACTTCTCCTATTCAGTAATTATATTGAAACATTCTACCTAGTGTCATTACCATTTGACAATTGCTACTATGTGTAGATGTGAGTAGTAGAAACATGATAAAAAAAAAGATCCTGATATTTCGTTTCAACAAGTGATTAATAATTAGTAACCTGCAATTTGGGTTTAGTACTGTCACTTTGGTTCCTAAACTTCAGTATCATTAATCGGCCATTAAGTGATATGTGAAAAGATAAATACCTTTCAGGTATCATCTAATTTTCTTTGTCAACCACTCAAATGCCCAAATCTAGCATAGATAACAATCTTCTCTTGAACACTGAGCACCATTTTACCAACTTCAAGGGAAAGTTGGGAAGAGCTATGCTATGCTATGTATATACTATTTCACTGGCAGCTTGCTTTTTCCTTGTTCCTCTCCTTTCCAAGATAACATCTCCTATGCTTATGCTTATCACCATGAGGGCTAGGATCACTGTCGTTCATTCTCACAAGCATATAAGCATCCCTCACTCAGTGTTTTGCACCTCTTTTTCATCTTCTTGATGAAGAAGATGATGAATAGTGTTTTATTTTGAAGGCTAATTTTAATATTTTCAAGTCTTAAGTTGCACATTATGTCACATTATGTTACATATAACTGACGGTCCATTAATGATAGGTACTGAATTGGTATGTTTTGAAAGTTTGGGTACTAAATTGTCATGTTTTGAAAGTTCGGGTAAATGAAACAAATTAATTTAGTTTAATTTAATTAGTTAATTTAGATAATTTAACTTAATTCACTAAATATGGTAAATTAATTAATTATTAATTTAATTAATCTAACTAAATACTTAAATTACATTAATTAGTCAAATTTTAAAACAAATAGTTTTATAATTACAATTAATAACTTTAAAGTAATTAATAAAGTCTTAAAAAAACATTTAAGCAAATTAAGTAACTTAACATATGATTTGCACTAAGACATTTTACTAAGTGTATATTGTTGGAGGGTTGAGGGGGATGAAGGGAGAGAGGGTAGGGAGGGATGAGAGGGAGCATGGTTTTTAAAACCGACCTGGTGATCGAACCGGTCAGGGGTCTGGTTACCGAGTCAAACGGTTCGCCGTTCAAACCGAACACTCGGCCCGTTCTGGCAGAAAAATAAAAAAATAAAAAATTTTCAAAAAAAATAAAAAATGGTCAAAACCATTTGAACGGTTAACCATTCAGTTCAGTAGTTCGCTAACCAAAATCAACGGTTTTGAGGGGAAATCCGGTTTTTGGGGAAAACGGAACTGGTCAGGTGACCGGTTCTTGGTTTTTCTGGTACAACCATCGAGTCCGGTCCGATTTTGAAAACCATGGGAGGGAGTGGTTGAATTCTTGGAGAGAGAAAGAGAGTGAGAGGAAAGAATGTTTTAAAATATTAGTTTGGTTTTCTTCTATGGAATTCGATTGAGAAGTTAAACAGATGTAGATGAAAAGGCCCAGCTTGGCCCAAAAATTCTAAGTTTGGTCGTAAGTTTTGTGTTTAGACTTGGTTTGGGCCTGGCCCTACAAATTTTTAGCCCAAGCTTTGGTCTAATACTTTAGCACAACCCAAGCACACATTAGGCTCACAAATTTCCAAGTCAAGCTTGGGCCTAACCAACCTAAATTCGACTTAACTCAAAAATTCAAGGCTTGGGCCTAGGTATTTTGATCAAGCCTGGCCTTGGGCTTAAGTGTGCATCAGGCTCACGAGTTTCTAAGTTGGGTTTGTTTCCAATACTTCATCCCCAACTCGAGGCTTGCTGAGATGAAATAAAATTAGAAAACTTAATTAGTTAATTATATTGATTAATTAAAAAATATTAAAAACATTTATTATCTTGTAAATAATATTAATAGTTCATGGAGAGAGTAAATGAAAAATTGAAAATAAAGATAAATGAAAAATTAAAAATAGTGTTAATGGGAGTGGAGAGAGAGATAGGGTTATCAACGGGTTGAGTCCAAGTAGAATTGGAACCGACCCAATAAGAATTACTAAGGACATAGAACTAAACCGAATTCGATAGGGTTTGTAATTTTAGACCCAAAACCAAATCGATCATTCTCGATACAATTAGTTCTAACCCAATGGACCTAATTATAATAAACCTATTGAAAATATTATATATATATAATATTACTTTATTTTATATATTTTACATATACATATAGCACGGGTCGTATCTGAACCAACTTAGTACAGGGTGGAATTGGTTCCAACCTGAGAAGAATTGGGATAACATACCCATTGGTTCTAGTTCCTGGAACTAGAATTGACCCCAATCGGTTCGGGTCCATTGGGTCCAACCCAACCCATTGACAGCCCTAGAGAAAAAAGAGAGAGGTAATAAATGAAAAGTAAAGATAGTAATAATAAGTTTGTGCCAATAATGTAATTACATTTTAATGACACTTTTATAATGACATGAAAACTCAATGTCATGTACACAACTAAAAAAGAGGCAATAATTGCATTCAATGGTATTCTTGTAATTAGTAAAGAACTCAAAGTGGCAAATAATAATACTCTTCTAATTACATGAAAATTCAATTGTATATTAACAACTAAAAGATAGGCAATGATTACTTTCAATGACACTCTTGTAAACACTTGTAATTATCAAAAAAATTAATATAAAAAATAATGGGCTCATGAACGTCACATGAACCATTGGTGCCAACAATAATAGCAAAATATTTCACACGAATTCCTATAAATTTCACGTGTTAGGATTCCATTTTAAGTAAAACTGTTGCTTTGTCCATACCATTTAGCTTTTAGTATATATATGTGATGTGATGTTATTTTAAGTTTTAACTTGCAATTTTTGAAAAGTAATATTTGAACTAATGCTTTGTTTATGTTGTTCTGCCTCCCTAGATGTAAATGAGTGTGAAGATCCGAAGGTCAATACATGTGAAAGTATTTGCATTAACACTGTAGGATCTTACTACTGCTCATGTCCAAAGGATAGTTATGGTGATGGTATAAAGAATGGGAAAGGCTGCACGCCGAAAAGCAAAGTTTTTCCGGTGATTAAGGTCACTCTAGGTAATTCTCTTTTATTTTTCTTAAATAGTAAGGTATTATTTATTAAAATAAAGTATATAATATGTATACAYTTAACAGTACACAGACAATGCCTCAACTGAAAACTGAATGGAGGTGTAAGTTGGGCAGACTGGGCTAGGTTTTAGTTCAATCGAAGCCCAATCATAAGAATTGGGCCTAAAGTTTGAGTTTGAGATCAAGTCTAAATTATCTTTTCAAATTTAGTTCATACTAAAATTTGATGCGTTTGGATTGGACCGGGTGCCTGGCTAAGATCGGATTGGACAATCAGTTCACACTAAAAATTGATATGCATATACATACATACATATATATATATATATATATATATATATATATATATATATATATATATGCATGCAAATGTGTCTATGTATTCGTATATAGATGTATATATAATCAGGTTAGGATCAGGCCAGGTTGGGACTAGCTAACCAAAAATATTAAAAAGTCTGAACGTTTATGGTTGAGTCCAGCTCAAGAACTGATAATCTAAGGCCAGCCCATTTAAGCCTACAGGTTGGATCGGTACAAGCTCAAGTTGCACCCCCTAATCCCACATAGAATCGGGATTAAGTCTAGTAAAATAAATCTAGAATTAATCAAATGCCCAAAGCAGAAAACAAAATATACATGCCCCTCAAAACAATTATACCCTACAAACCGAAAACCTCAAAATGAACCCAACCTTTAACATGAACCTAAACAGGAATATAGAAACAGCCAGAGTTGTCTACCTAACAGTCATGGATCTTCCTCTACCTCTTCTACCCATATCTCTATTACTACRAACTCCCCTGATGTTTGGCGTCACCACCACCTCGTCATAGAAATCCGCTAACTTTTTGAATCTTCTACAAGAGGAGGTAACCTAAGCTTTCAAAGGACCAATCCAAACTAATTCTCTCAAGATCCGAATCAAGTCTCAAACTATAATTGTGAGTYAAAGGGCGGGACTTCATTATTGAAACTTCGTTGTCTCTGAGACATTTGTGCACTAATCCACTTATCCAACTGTGAAAGACACTCTAAGGAGTTTTCCAAAGATTAATGCCTGTTCTATGTAGTGGTTCATGTTCATGTGCCAGTTTGRAATACTTGACCTTTGGTCTTGAACCCTCCTCTTTTTTTATTTAAAAACTTGGTTTAGTTCTTTGACCCAATGGAGTGTGTGATAAAGCCTAAAAACAAGGTGAGTGCACACCTCTAAAACCAATCCAGAGGTAGTAGTTTCTTTCCTTATTGTGGTATTCGACAACATGATTTGTCTATATCTTTATCCGGTAACCAACCAACCAAACAGTTCCCCCCACCACTCTTGGGTACCAAGTCAAGCTTGAGCATATTCTRAACTTTTCTCACTGGGATTAGCCCTTTGGACTGTAAAGATGGTATCATTGGGAGAGATAGCAAGTATTAGGGGTGAGCAATCGGTTTATTGTTTAAAAATTGAACTGAATAAACGAAAATTTTCAAAACCAATGTTTGAAATGGAAAATTAGATTGAAACTTAAATAATTAAAACCAGAATTTTTTGTTCGATTGTTTATTAAAACTGAATTTCTTTAAAATATTAATATATATTATATAAATAATAAAGCTTGGTTAATTTGGTTTTTTTAGTTAATGGAAGTACTTAACTTAAAAACTAAAACCGAAACCAAAATTTTGTAAAACTAAATTAATCGATCCAAATTAACTAAAAATCAAAGTAACCGAAGAAAAAAAAAATTAAAACCAAACCAATTTTTTTATTTTATCTGAAAAATGTTCATCCCTAGCAAGTATGAGATAGAGACTACAATTGGGTTCACCAAAGGGTAACAGATTGGTTTCGGATCTAGGTTGGAGCCGCACCACTCAACACTGCCTTTTTTAAGTCAAAAGTGCACTTGTTCCAAATTTGAACAGCATGCCCAACCTTCAATGAATTGGGAGGGTATAGATCAATGGTGTTGGCCTCACAATAAAAAGAAAAAAAAAACAGAAAGCAAACTGGGAGGGAGAAAATAGCACATTATAGAGGTTAATCATTTACCAACCTATCAACAAAGCTCTGCCATTCATCATGATCACCATTGGACTAAGGCCATCACCACCGGAAACAAGAACCTAGGTATTTCTACTCTGTCTTCTACTATGGAAGCATTATTATTGTCTTTAGTTGGTCCTTCCACCACGAACTAAGGCCACTTAGGGCCTACTGGTTCATACCATGACAATCTCAACTAACTTTATTGAAGATAATGTTCAGGGAACAAGACTGAACATTAAACTGAAAAGGGTAGAGGTTTATGGGTAAGAGATTCATCCACACTCAAACTAGAGGTCAAACTATGATGACATGACATATATATATATATATATATAAAATATTATAAATAATATAATACAAATAATGTAGTGATTAAATGTGATGAATAAATGGCTAATTTTTTAGTTTTTAAAGCAATTGATCAAGGTTCAAACCTCTTAACACACATTTTCTTTAAAGGGATTGACTATGATATGGAAAAGATATGATATCTGAAAAATGTCTTACCAATAAACTAGAATCATAAACATGGTAGGCAATCAGTTGTTATTTATCAAAATTATGGGTTTTTGATTGGTCAAAACTCTTTCGACACCATGTCTTTCCAGCACCAGAGGTTTTCTATTCTTTAAAATACATGTGTATTAATGCAATATGTAAATTAAGATTCACAAATGAACATAAATGCCTTCAAAAAATAAATGAACACAAATTGTATTAATGGTAASAAGACAGTATGCATGAAAAAAAATGTCATGGTTCAATTCTTTCCATTTTCATTTTGAAAATTTCACACATTTGAGACATGGGTGCATTTTGAAACTGATTGAGGGTGTGAATTTGGTGCCATTGAGTTCTARATCCATGGAGGGAAAAACAATTTCCTCGTAGTTCTAGAGTTTCAACATTTTTCACTGCCGAAAGCTTGAACCCACTATCTACACAACCATTCTTCTACCTATCAAGACAACCCATAAATATCTATCAAGATAGTGATTAGATGTTGCCTATTGAACAATGAAAAAACAAAGTGCATTGCTCCAATAACTYCGTCCTTAAATTAAAAAGCAAGATGCCATTTATTCCATTCCATTTTTTGGATTTTGAGGTGAGGGGGGGGAGGGGAGTTGGTCAATGGGATTTTGGGAATAGGAAAAATTTATTTTCTAGGTAAGTGATAGGCATCTCCTAAGTGGGTATTAACTTTYCCACAGGGGGAAAGTTGCCAATACTTGGATGGGACAAAAAACACTCATTTTAATAATTGATTTTTATGGCTAAAWTGGTCATTGTCTTATTTACCTAGGAAATAAAAAAATGAGTAAATGTACTTACCAGGGTAAGTCTTTCCTGGAAAACACTTACCCATTACCCGAGTAAGTGTTTTTTGATTTTGAGAGGGAGGAAGTTGGTCAATGGGATTTTGGTTCCCATTGTCCAAGAGACCCATGCTGTTTTATTATTTCTTTTAGATTTATGCGGGGACTAGGTAATATTGTTTCCTTGGTGATACCAATCTCCCATGTGGGTAAATAACTTTCCCACTTGGGGAAAAGTTGCCAACACTTTGATGGGACAAAAATGCTTATTTTAATAATAACGAAATTTTATGGCTAAAACAGACATTGTTTTATTTATTTGAGAAATAAGAAAACATGGGTAAATAACTTAACGAAAAGCAAACAGGACCTAAGCTTTTCCAGGTTTTCCAGGATTAAGCTGCCCAATTTTCTACCTACTCAAGTTCTGAGCAACATTCTGAGAAATAAGCTACCAAGAACCATTAGAGGAAATCTTCCTACTCCCATAAGCCTTCCTCAAAGGCAAAGACACTATTGGAAGGTCCAAAAACAAGAAATGACACTCTTCTCTACTCAAAAACTCCCAACACAACCATTAAAGAAAAAAAATCCCTTTAGAAATTATAATTAACACCAACCTGTATATCTTGACMAGCTATTTTCATCCAATTACTTTAAAGTATGTAGGCACGACATTGCATGCGTGCTAAACCAGGAGAAAGAAATTTTCTTTATCAATTAAAGATACACCAATAGCTATAATTAAAGAAAGAAAGAACAACCAATCAATTCATTTTTATCAAATTGCATGTTTGCACTTCAGCTCATGCCAACTTATAATGGACAAGACAGTACTTGACATGCACATAGATTTTCATAAAGTTCATAGAGCCTGTATATCATACCATAAACTCATGAAATTTAGAAATATCGTGACCATAGATTTATTAGTACAGAAATGAATTTTCATATTATTTTAAGGGGGCGTTCTTTTTTGGGATTTTGAGAGGGGGTAAAGTTGGTCAATGGAATTTTGGTTCCCATTGACCAAGAATCCTATGTTCTTTTTTTTCGATTTATGTGGGGACCAGAGAAAGTTTACCTAGGTTGGTAAATAATTTTCCCACTTGGGGGAAAAGTTTCCAACACTTATATGGGACAAAAATGACCCTTTTAATAATGRATTTTTATGGTTAAAATGGTCATTTCCTTTTTTACTTGGGAAATAAAAGAATATGGCTAAATACACTTACCTGAATAAGTGTTTCCCAGGAAAAAATCACCTAGGTAATTGCATTTACCCAGATAAATAATTTACCAAAAAGCAAAGGGGGCCTAAATACAAGTAGTTCTATATGATTATAAAATATTTATGACATTTACATATATTTTAACTAGTACAAAWTCTAATACAAAGTCTTATAAGAGATTAATTCAATAAGCATGTCGAATAATATTTTGGAAGATGGGGAAAAACTTTGGCTCTTTGGGCAAAACAGCATGGGTTGTTTTAAAGATTCTCGTGCATGASATATTAACATGGCTGTGGGCTATAGAGTATTTGCAACCGACATTCTTTTTTTGTCAAAAGATAAGTAAAGAATTGAATGGGATTWTGCGCCAMATATAGAAACCTCCAAAACAGCTTAAGGTGTTTTCTTTTTTCAAATAGCCAATGTTTTTCTCGAAGATGGAAATGACCTCACATCAAAAGTACCAATATATATAGATCAACATCTTTAAGTATTATATATCAATTCAGTTTCAATTATATGTGCTATYACTTAACTAAACAAACGATCATGTGATATTGACTGTTTCTGTTTCACTCTCTCTTCCATTTTTGTAATGGATATATTAATAATCCCTAAACATGGCATGCAGGTATTGGCTTTGGGATCTTACTTTTCCTCGTTATTWTTTCTTGGTTATACTTTTTCGTAAGGAAAAGAAAGCTCATGAAATTAAGAGAAAAATTCTTTGAACAAAATGGGGGACTTCTTTTACAACAACAATTATCCTCATATGACGAAGGTGGTTTTGAGTTCATAAAGATCTTTAGAGCAGAAGAGCTAGAGTTGGCAACTAATAACTATGATGCAGATTGCATCCTAGGGAGAGGGGGACAAGGCACAGTATATAAAGGCATTCTACCAAATCATCGAGTAGTAGCCATTAAAAAGTCCAGAATAGTAGATGAGTGCCAAATTGAGCAATTTATAAATGAGGTTATCATTCTTTCACAAATTAACCATCGAAATGTAGTAAAGCTTTTAGGATGTTGTTTAGAAACTGAAGTTCCATTGCTAGTTTATGAATACATCTCCAATGGAACTGTTTTTGACCACATCCATAAAAAGCATGAAGCTCCCTTGCTTTCTTGGGAAGATTGGTTGAGAATTGCAACAGAAACTGCCGATGCACTTGCTTATCTACACTCTGCAGCCTCTATACCTGTCATTCATAGAGATATCAAATCTGCGAATATACTACTAGATGATAATTATGC